TAACACTTCATGGATGCCTTCAAGGATGACAAGAGTTGGAGAACAGGGATATCACAGAAAGATATTCCAGGTATGAGTAACAGCATGAATAAAGCTCCAAAGCCAAAAATGAGTGTGGCCTGTTCAAAGAACAGTGCAGAAACTGGTCTATTTGGAACAGAGAGTACCCGTTGGCAGGCAATGGCATATAAGATTAGCCAGGTAAAATGAAACCAGATTGAGGGAGGCTCTGAAATCCAAGATGAGAAATCTGAACTTTATTTGACAAGCACTGATAAGCAGCGAAAGAAACTGCTTTGTTCTGTTCTGCTTTTTGAAGACAATAAAATACTGTGGCTATACAGACAGGTAGCATTCCCTGTCTTCTAAAATTGGCCCACTGATTTCCCACTCCCCAGGTCAGGTTATATATGCTCAGGTACACATTACTTCTGTGAAAAGAATGTTTCTGTTCATGTTGGTACTAGGCATCTCCAACTGCAGTTGGAGATGCCTGTCAATTACCCTTAAAAGTTCTTCAGCTATCTCATGTCATTTATCCTCTCCATAAACACTGTTTAACCCATGACATAGCCAAACTAGGGAATTAAAGATGACTCAATTCATGCCCTTAAGAAACTTAGGATCTGATGTAGGCAAAAGCCAAGAAAACAAACTAATACAATACAGAGTGGTAAGTGCCAGAGTAAGGGATTCCTAGAGCAGTAGTCTCCAACCTTTTTGGCACCAGGGACGAGTTTTGCAGAAGACAATTTTTCCACAAATTGGAGTTGGGGTGGGGGATGGTTTCAGAATGAAACTGTTCCACCTCAGATCATCAGGCATCAGATTCTCATAAGAAGTGTGCAACCTAGATCCCTCACCATGTGCAGTTCAAAACAGGTTCAAGCTCCTATGAGAATCTAACGCCGCTGCTGATCTGACAGGAGGCGGAGCTCAGGTGGTAATGCTCGCTTGCACAGGCTGTGTGGCTGGGTCCTAACAGGCCACCAACCTGTACCAGTCCACAGCCCGGGCGTTAGGGACCCATGGCCTACAGTATCATAAAAGCAGAGGACACTTATATCAGTTTGGAGATCAGAAAAAGATAGAAAACACCTAAGACAAAGTGTTGACTGAGTCTTGAAGAAAAAGAAGTACCAGCTGGGCAAGGTGGCTCACGCCTGTAATCTGCCCACCACTGAGGTGGGCAGACTGCTTGAACTCAGGAGTTCCAGACTAGCCCGGGAAACATAGTGAAAATCTGTCTCTACAAAAAATACAAAAAAATTAGCCAGGCGTGGTGGCAGGCACCTGTGGTCCCAGCTATTATACTTCGGAGGCTGAGATGGGAGGACTGCTTCAGCCCAGCAGGCAGAGGTCGCAGTGGGCAGTGACCACTCCAGCCAGAGCGAAAGAGACAGACGCTGTCTCAAATAAATAAATAAATAAATATCAGAACATGAGGAGACATAGTGGGGATGACAGTGATTGCAATCGGACTGCAAAGGCTAGGCAGAGACTGTCATACTTAGAGACTACAAGTTAATTCCTTATGGCTGGATGAGTGGGAAAAGTAGGCAAGGACCACACCATGAATACAGAAAGTTTGCATTTTAGAGTAGATGAATGATTTTAATGAAGGAATATTACGATCATATCTGAGCTTCTTAAAAAGAGCTCCAGTGCCAGTGGAAGATGGATTGAAAGGGCACCACAAAGTTTCTTCCTATCATAAATGCAACAAAAATCTGCTAAAGGATGCTGTAACAGTCACTTTATTCCAGTTATCCACTCCTACCCTCTTTCTAGGCTTAACGCACATCCTTCATGAAGCCTTCCCCAACCCTTCCCAAACACATTAATCTTGTCTTTCTCAGAACTTCTAACACACGTCTACTTGTACATTTCATTCTCCTATCAGTGTTTAAGTTTCTCTTCCCTAACAAGAAGGTAAGCTCCCTGAGAAAACAAGTCATATATTTCTGTAATACACACACACACACACACACACACACACACACACACATCTTACAGCTCCCAGCATAGTAATATAACATTCTGAAATAGACACTTCCTTTAAATAGCCCTCTTTATCCATGAGTAAAAAGATTCTGCTTTCCCCATAAATAATAAAATAAAATGTAAGATTAGGCAAACTATGGTGAAAAGAAAGCATAGCAGTGGTGGGATCAGGAGTGAATACAAGGTGATCAGGAATGAATACAAGGGAACTTTCTGGGGAGAAGGAAATGTTCTAATTTGTCATAGGGATGTGTTACAGTGTATTCATTTGTCTAAAAAAATGTATAACTAAGATTTGTACATTTCAATGTATATAAATTTTATCTAAAAAAACTATAAAAATAAGGGGTGAGAGGCAGGTTGATATAGATGAAACAGGAATATAGAATGTTGCTGGTACCCCTTGGGTAAAGTGTATTGGGCAATCCTTGTATTATCCTATTTACTTTTTATACGTGTGAAATTTTCCACAATAAAAGGTCAGAAACACACACACACATATGAGATTTAACTAAGTGAAAAAAATTACATCAACGAAAATTAAAAATAACCCAGAACATTTAATTACTCATTCTCCTAATGTTTGGAACAATGTTACACTGTAACTTTTAAAGTGATTTTTACTAGCTCTATTATCTGTCCAATTTTAAGGAAATACATATTCTAAAACCAACCTACTATTAACAACATAGACAAAAGAAGGCCAAGTAGCCAGTTTCCTTAATTAAGCACCAGATATTAAAATTAATTAGTTCTGTTGCCAAAGGTATTCAAAAGGCCAGTCAAATATAAAGTTAGAATCCTCTAATCTTCAAACTGTGATACCAAAGGTGGTGACTGAAAGATATTCGTAAGATTCTGGAAGTATAATATCTACAAAAATACACTCAATACCATTTTTAATGGTTTCAAAATAGTTCAATCATTTCATCTCAACAATTTAAACTTCACAATTCTCTGCTCAGAATCTGCAATCTCCTCCAACAAAATAATGTGTAAAATAGAGGTTTTCCCCACTCATCCCAATGCAAAAGACTAATAATAATCTTTTGTTCAGTACATCTCCTGCTAAATAATTTAATCCCCACAAAAGCTCATAACATTTCTCAAAAAAAAAAAAAAAAAGGTTTTTTTAGGCATTTTACAATGGCAAATGAGCAGCTAAAATTATTTAATAAGACAAATTCTATTATATTATTTTACTTCTATCACTACTATTTCCCATTAGATTATGTTCAAAATTTCCCTTACCAATTATCTACGGTCTTATAAACTGGTTTGTAGTTAGGTGGACTGTGACTGGATGGGGGATGAGAATTTCTGGGGTGCTAATATGTTCTGTTTCTTGATCTGGGTGCTGATTACACGGGTGTGTTCTACTTGTCAAAATTCTTCAAGCTCTACACTTATGTGTACTATATGTATGTGACATGTATGTGATACTATATCACATATACATATAAATGCGATACTTCAGTAAAGAAGTTTGTTTTTAAACAATTATAAAAGTAATCCAGAACTGGCAGGGCCGTCCTCGAGTCCCCACCTACATAGTAAAACACTTGTTCTATGCCCTGAAACACTTCTTTGCAAAAACAGAATTCAAGTTAAAGGACCTAACATCTTCTTTCTACCGGCATGTTCCCAGGTAACAGGTAACTTCTATTTGCAACTGGGAGTTTATACAAACCAACAGAAAAACTTGCTTTATATTTTCCCAAATTAATCCTTTTAAAAGCAAACTGAATAGAAGAAAAATGAGTAAGCGCTGTATTGCCCAGACTATGCTGCAAATCATTTTCAACTCTGTTAAATGGATTTAGGAAGGAAAAGAAAGATCATCACTTCAGACTCTAGTAAGATAAAAACAGAAGGCGACTAGAAAGAACTTAATGGAAAGGGTACTATAAACTAGAAGTCTACTTGTCAGTGTTTTAGTGCAAATTTTACTACTAATTAGATATTGTAGGCAAATCAACATGGGAGGAAACAGTACCTGCTCAGAGGAATGAATAAAATTAAATTCATGAAAGTAGTATGTCAAGATTTAATACGAAATATTCAATGACTGGCAAGAACGCTTGGGAAGTGGCCTTTTCTCATTCACTTGTCCAGCAAATAAAAATTGTATGTATGTGACATACATACCTGTATGTCACAACCATAATTCAGCTCTTTTTTCCTTTCTCTGATCTGATAGCCTCCCAAAGTTAAATCTACGTACTGAAATTCTCTCGCGGTGGAAGCAGTGGAGTGTCATTAAAAAGGAGCTTGATCCTCACCTAAAGCACTCTCTCACCTTTCACCTACAGAGCCCTCTAAGTCCGACAGACCCGATCCAGCCTTTCCGGATGAAATGCCAGGGCGTTCACCGACCAAAGGGTTCACCGACTCCAAGGGGTCACCACTTTAGATGGCAATCTTGCCAAGTGGACCGGGAATAGTTTCACAGGAGCCACCCTCGCGACTTTCAACAGCAGTTACTCGGGAATCGAGCCAAACCTCGTCCAAGTGACTTAAACACCGGCCTCCAGCCTGGCGAATCCAATCCCCATCCTCAATCACACATCCACGTCCCCAAAACAAATCCTTCACGGTCTGTCTGGAGATGAGATGGCAAAACCAGAACACACCCAGAAAGTTGACATAGAAGGGGGTGATGACGGGAAGGGGGTGGGGGACACACCGTGTCCCCCTCCCACCCCCAACTGGAGGCTGCTGCCTGGGGGCTGGTTGGACGCCGGTTCGCCCGCGGGCGCAGAAGAATTCGCACTCCCGGGGTGGAGCGAGGTCGCCGGACAGGCCGGCTGGGATCGATGCTGTCGCGGCGGGGACTCGCGGACACCCTGACATTGGAGCCCCATGGCAGTCGCGGTCGGCCCTCTCGCCGCCTCACCCCGTCGGGCAAAGGGACCGGTCCGCCGGGCGGGAAGGGAGACCGCGCGGGGAGCGACCGCTCGGGCCCGGGAAGGCGGCTCGGCTACGGGCCTTCTTACCCGTGCAGGCCGAGGGCGCGGCGCCGCTTGTGGAGCAGGCAGAGCAGCAGGAACGCGGCACCAGCTAGCGAGGAGTTTCGCGCCGTCAAGTACTTGCTGAAGGCCGCCATGGCACTGCCGGTACGAGACAGCCGGCGGAGGGGACCCGGCGGCGGATACCTTAGCGCAGGAAGCGCGGGGGAGACTGGGAGGAGAGCAGAGGGCGGGGCCGGCCGCGCAGGACCGCCCCCTGGCGCGCGCCGCCGCGCCGCCCGCGCTCTGGAGCCCACTTTGTACTTTGGCTCGGCGGGAGCGCGCCTGGCAGGCTCCGAGGGCGGAACAATTCCCGGGACGCGCTCTGCGCACGCGCGGACCCCCTCAGGGTCCCCGGAAACGCGGCGCGTAGGCGCTGTTGCTACTCAGCCCTGCGAGGCGTCAGTGCTGCCCCTCCTTCACCCCTACTCTCCCACCCTTCGCGCGCACACCCCGGCTTTCACAAGAACTGGATGAGCGGGCCCGGCCTGCACCGAGGACCTAGTGGGCCCTGCCTCTCCACTCCCGCGGTGATGGACCGTTACCACCCTCTTAAAGGAGCCCAGGAAGGAGGCGGGCGGCCCCGTCACACAGTGTGTAGGGAAAACACAGCACAGCGATTTTTAGGACGAAGCCAAACAATCGGAACTCCGCAGTGTAGGGAGATGTGAGGAGAATGAAACAGATCAAAGAGCTTTTTCCAAGCCAGTATTTTCCAAACCGCAGGTTATAATCTCTAGCGCATTGTGAAATCGGTTTGGTAGATCGGGATCATCACCCTAAAATTGAGAATAGAGCAAAATAGAAAAGTTTCACAGTACATCACGTAGTAAAGGATTTGTTTGGAGAAATTTTGATTTCAGTGTTTTACACGTATGTATCGCCAGCGGCGATGTAAAATGTATTTATGCAGATCTGGTAAGAAAAAAAGTTTGAGAAACACTGTTCTTTGCAAAGGGACATTCAGAAGTAACAATCGTGCGTTGTATTAGTGCTGGCCTCACTCCCAGAATCAGAAGGGCTTTGCAGATTACAACATTCTTCTCCTGTCTGGCCCTATGATGCAGGAATTGTTATCCCCAGCATTGAGCCTAGCATATATACAGTAACAGTGAATCGCTGTTTTCAACTGAGGAAACTGGAGGAAAAAAAGCAAGTGTGTCAGAAAATAAGCTCATAAAACCTCGCGTAATGCACATACATATTAAAGTAGCCTACAAAGTAGTGGTGCTGTGCCCTAGGTGTTTTCTCAATGTAAATGAGCCGTTGCCTAATACAGGTTAAAAGGATCACAAAGACGAGGTACAGTAATGGCAGGCGTGTAGAGGTGCTCAACAGTGAATTCTAAACTATGCAAAAGTGAAGCTCCTACTAATTCACTATTTGTCAGGTGAACATTTTCATTACCTGGAGGGGCCAAGGGTCTTGGCCCTCTGAAAGTTCACTGAAAATCACTGACATGAGGCAGATTAATAGAAGAAAAAGAACGTGTATACATGGGAGCGTTCAGAATGGAGACCCAAAGATACGTGGAAAATTGTCCATTTTTGTGTTTAGATTCCACAAAGTATGAACAGCTATGTAGAAATGTGATTGGACAAAAACGGTATAATCCAATGCTAATAGAATGAGTGGGGACACCCAGCAAGGCCGGTCCAGATTCTTCTTGCCCTTCTGAGCACCATTCCTTCCTTCTCGGTATGGGGCATGGAATGGAGCTCTTACGGCCTACAGTCAAACAAGGCAGGTCAGATCTTTATGGCCAGATTTTACAGAAAAAGGTGGAGGGAAAATTAGCAAAAACATGTTTAGGCTTTTATGGCAGGCTTTAGGGGATAGAGGATCTGGTTTCTACCTCTTGCCTTGAGGAATAGGGATCCTAATATTTATGGCTAGCCTGGGGAAATACGGGACTGAGAGACAGGAGTGCCCGCCTAGGGCAGAGAAGAACTTTTGCTACTGAGGCCTTCATTTTGGAGTATTGTGTTGTGAGTCCCAACGACCTCACATAATTTATGTAATTGGGTATGCCTGGCACAGATAACACAAAGATGAACAGATCATGGAGATCGTATTCTCCAGAGGCTGTTAGAGAAGAAAAACATGTAAAAAAAAAAAATCAGGTATAAATGTGGTAAGTACTATATTAGAGATATGAACAAGGTGCTATGGGAACACAAACACAAAAATATTTAGTTTTGTCTAAAGCTTTCAATTAAGGCTCAAGGCTTGACAAAGATGATTCTGTAGCTAAATTCTAAAGGACCAAAGGAGTCACTCAGGAGGACAAAAGAGGAAATTACTAATTCAGTAATAAATTGCAAAGTGCTAGAAAAGAGTTGGGAACCTTATGAGAAAGTAACGGTATCATCTTAGAGTTTGTAACAATGAAGGAAGTACAAGCAAGATTAGTCTAAAACAGTCTAGAAAATAGATTTCAAAACATTCAGAGGAAAGATAGAAATGATCCATTGACAAAACATTCTAAAATGTGCCCTTGTTCAAGAAGCATGGGAGATGCTAAAAAATTACATGAGTTATTTGAGCTCAAATAATTTTAGCTATTGATAAAGCCCAACTGACAAAAATCACCAGGACCAAATCTGTAATCCAATAAGTTTATTAATTTGCTACAGCAAAAGACAGTATACAGCAGAGGAATTGTGGCCATGTCTCAAAAGAAAAAAAAAAAGGAAGAAATAAGGAGTCATTATAGTATTTAGAGAAGAGAGGAGTTTAGGTAAAATCTAAATAAAGCAGTGCTTGATAGGCTTAAAGCAAATCAGATCTGTATGTAATATCAAAACTGGACTGAGAAGCAGATTCAAGATTCTAGTTCTTAGAAACATACATTTAAGGTTAATGTAGAATATTGTTTCTGAAAATCTCTTGTCTGAATGTCTGCACTGGAAATTGAGACTGCTTTTGTAAGTCAAAGTGACTCAAAGAGTTCAAATCTGCCAAGCAAAAAAGGGATGTTCTGTTCTCACTGGTAGAATCTCAGAACAACAAACTTTCTAACAGGATTTCAAAGAACAAAATTCCTCGGCACTATGTCCTTTGATAATTAACAATGCAGTTTTGCAAGTTCACACTTCATAATATTAAATAAGAAAAACAGAAAATGCAATTTTATGGGCTCTGATTTCTAAAGAATTTGAGCTATTGAGAACAGGGAGGCAGGGCATAGGAAGTTAGTGAATCTAGAAAGCCTCTGGAAGAAATGTTGCGTTAGCCAGCCTCCAAGATTGTCCCTGGTGATCACAGTGTCTTAATATTGATGCCCTCGTGGAATTTCCCTCACATCAGAGCTGAGTTTTGTGATCAAAAGAGTATAATGAAGGTGATGCTATGTGACTTCAAAGGCCAGATTATAAAAGGCACTGTGGCTTTTGCGTTGGTCTCTTGGATTGGTTGCTCTTGGAGAAGCCAGCTGCCACAGAGAGCACTCAAAGTGCCCTGAAGAGGAATTGAGGCCTCCCACCAGGAGCCAGACCAGCTTGCCAGCCATGGAAGTGGGCCATCTTAGAAGCAGATCCTCCATCCTCAGTCAAGCCTTCAGATGACTGTAACCTCATGAGTAATCTCAAGCCAGATAGCTCAGCCAAGATTCTGCTAAATTCCTGACTCATAGAAACTGTGGAAGGTAACGTGTTTATTGTATTAAGTCACTACATTTAGGGGTAATTTATTATGCAGCCAGTGTGATTTGAACCAAACCTTGAAAAACGGATGGAAGAAAGAGGGTTCAGAAGAAGACACAAGAGGAGCAAAGATGCAGATACCAAAGCAGATTGAGGAATGTGATTAAGTCTGATGCAGATGGAGGCTGAGGGAGGCACGTGAAATGAGAGAAAAGTTTGAAACGTTTAACTGAAGTCAATTTATGAAGGGTCTGAAACACCAAGCTAACCAGGTAGGATTTTTATTCTGCAGATAGAAAGGAGTATTGCAGGTTTGGGGAGAGGGTAGTGACTTCAGAATTTATTTAAGAAAGATCATGCTAGTGGCGGTGTGTAGAGTGGGTTGAAGGAGGAACCATCAAGCAGAGGGACCAGTTTGCACACATGAAATAGTCTAGGTAAAAGGTAATGATCACCTGAGTCAGGGCAGCACAGATCACATAGGAAGAAAAGGACTTTGTGAATTCACATAAAATGGGAATAGGTGAAATAATTAATTCATGGGAAGAAAACGTTTACATTGATTCTGATATTGCCTGACTGAGTGTCTAAGAGGATGATACTATTTACCCAAGATCAGAGACACAGAAATGGTACATGCTTATCAGGAAAGGTAATGAGATGCAAACAAATTCCTTACTAGTTTCTCATCACCAAGATAAACTGCAATAGCCTTAGCATCTCACACAAACCCAGTGATGATACAAGCTCTGCCTACCTCTCTAACTCCTATCTTGGCACTCCTCCCCTCCTACAGATATATTCTACCCCTACCCCAGGAGATAGATGCCTGCTATTCACTTCTGTAGTCTTCTCTTGAATATCCTATTCCTTCTACCTGAATCCCTTCCTACCCTAACATCCTCACGTTCAACTCAGTTTATCCTTTAAAATGAAGCGTTCATGGTCTCCTACTCTGAACAGTCATCTCTGAACAGTCCCCCCTAACCCCTTCACCCCATTGCCAAGTTAATTATTATCTTCTTTGTACTACTACTGTTTCATATATAATTCTATTAATATGTAGTAGGGTGTCTTGGGAGGCAGAACTTAAATTTTTTTAGAGAACTGCCAATCATGTCTCTGGGAAGGTAAATACTTCAAGTAACTGAGAACAAATCATCTTTGCTTAGAAAATAGTCACTTGAAAAGCCCCTTTTACTGATTAGAAATGAAAGGAGAATAGGTACCCAACTGTACCAAGGAAAGGACATCTTGACAAAGGCTGTTTCTTCAAATAGCCCTAGTTAGCCCAAGCTGGCATTGGGGAAGTTTGCACAAGAGAGCCTCCTGGGACGAAAGAGATTCAGATCTCAACCTCTTCCTTTTTGAGGCTCACCATTGCTAGACTTTCTGATAGACTCAGATAGTCCTGTCTCACTAGCTCAGGGTCCCAAAGAGGAACTCTTCAGAAGGAATGGAAAATCTAGGCCTGATGGCCACAGGGAGAGCTGGTTCTTGCACAGTACATGGCTAAGCCCTGAAGGCCATCCCAATTCAGTTACCTAGGAACTACCCATGTTTTTTGAGAACGATGTCCAAGCATAGGGAAAGCTTGGAAGTCGAAGCTTTCAGCTGTTCTGCAACTTATGCAGCCAGGATATCAAGGTGTGGGGCCAAAAGTGACTTTACTTTAAAAGTTAATCCACCATGTAACTTCTGACTAATCCCGAGTCCAGGAATGCCTTCAAAATGTCTAGTTGACATACCACTCTTTATGTAAGAACAACTATTCATTATAAGTTTCCCCCAAAACAAATACTGATACTGTTGCAAAAATCACAGACCACGACACCCATGGCCATTTACATATTCCTTCCAGAGCACATATACTTTCCCCAAGATATTAAGCCCTGGATCTGGAAAGTTGCAATGCAGAGATCTACCTGTACTATCGACCTGTGGCCGCCAGACCACACTTCTCTTTGTAAACTCCCCCAAATAAATCACCTTATGCTGATAAACTGGATTTGTCTGCCTCCTTCTTCGGTTTGTTGGCTCCTTTGACATGTGGGGGTCACTTTGCCTATACCGCCCTTTCCCAGAACAACAGGGGAGCAAAAAGATTTGGGACTGAGGAGAGCCAACTTGCAATGCCAACACCGGCTAATGGCTAAAGGTTTTTGGTAGCCTCAAACCTCCTCGACAGACTACTTGGAAGCT